TTCTGGTCCAGGCTAAACCAGTTGTCCCTGGCGCCAGTTAGCTGGGGGCCTCCGTCACGCCTGGGAGCGGCGCGGGGGGAAGCACCTTGTCCAGGGGAACCATGGCGAACGAGAAGCCCCCTCCGAGGAAGGCGAGGTGTGGTGGGGGCCATCGCCAGACCCTAGCCCGCTGTCGCTGCCCACGAGGTCCTGGTGGACCCCAGAGGCCCCCGGGAGGCCCCCAAGACGCCCCAAGGGAGCCCCAAGAGGCCCCAAGAGGGCCCCAAAAGGCTCCCACGAAGCCCCCAGGAGGCCCCCAAGAGGCCGCTAAACTCCCCCGCGGAAGCCCCCGAGAGCCCTCTCGCGAGACCCCAGGAAACGTCCATGAGGACTCCGACCCAAAACCCACGCGTCACGACTTTCGATGTTGCGCACCACGTCGGTAAACACCCAGGGAGCGGCCGGTGATGCGCCGCCAGCGTCCTCGATATTGGAAAAGGATGGGGCTGCGGGTTGGGCCGTGCGAGAACACTCTGACAAAGTGCCTGGTAGTATTCGCCTTGGCCTGGTAAACATCTCCCTGAAGTCCCTCCTGTGGGCCTCCACTCTGTCGGCGGTCCCTCGCAGACCCCCCAGACGCGAAGGTTTCAAGAAATCCCAAGGGCCCCAAGACGACCCCGAAGAGCCTCTAGACGGCCCGCAAAAGCGTCCAAGAAGGCTCCACGTCGCCGACAGACCGCCCCAAGATGCCCAAGATGGCCTTTAGACGGTCCACGTGGCCCTCAAGACGCCTTTAGAGGGCTTCAAGAGGCCTGCCAAGAAGGCCCCGAAATGCAAAAATCGTCATGCTCCTATGGGAAAACGTATACTTCTAGCATGTGCGACTGTTGTGATTCTGAGCGTCCACGACGGCCCTAGAGGCGCCCAAGATCGCCCGAATATGGACCCAAGGGCCCCGAAGAGGACCCCAATACGGCCCAAAAGCACCCAACGACGGCCCAAGAGGCGCCCAAGACGGCCGAAGACAACCCCAAGAGGGGCCTAGAGGGGCCCAAAAAGGATCCAACAAGGCTCCACGTCGCCGACAGCCGACAGACCGCCCCAATACGCCCAAGATGGCCTCGAGACGGTCCACGAGGCCCCCAAGACGCCTCAAGAGGGCTTCAAAAGGCCTTCCAAGAAGGCCCCATATGGGGAAACGTACACTTCTAGCATGTGCGACGTTTGTGATTCTGAGCGTCCACGACGGCCCTGGAGGCGCCCAAGATCGCCCAAGACCCCCCTGACGTCAACGGATCCAGGGCCGAAAGACGACTCACGAGAGCCCCCACACGGCCCAAGACAGTCCGAAATAGCTCCGAGTCAGCGACAGATCGCTCCAAGACGCCAACATAGCCGCAAGACGGCCCATGAAGCCCCGATGACGCCAGAAGAGAGCCTCCAGAGGCTTTCCAAGACGGCCCCAAAATGCGTCCCATTCCTTAAGGGAAACGTGCGCTTTGAGCGTGTGCGACTTTGGGACCCTCAGTGTCCACGACGAGCCTACAAGCCCCCGAGATCGCCCCAAGATCGCCCCAGAGACCTCGAAGAGAGCCCCAAGACGTGCTAAGACGGTCCCAAGACGGCCCAAGACGCGCCGAAGACGGCCCATGATGGCCCCAAGAGGGCCCTGGAGCCAGAACTCGAAATGAAATTTCCGGCTTTCTGCCCGAACGGGACCTCCCAGACCGCCAGCAGGCCTCCAAGAAGCCCCCGAGAGGCCCAACAGAGGCCCCAAGAGGCCCCGAAACGGCGTCCAAGAGCCCCAGAGAGGCTTCAGAACTGCCTCCAAGAGACTACCGACCAGATGCGACAAAGTCCGTGGGAACGGCCGGTGATGCGCCGCCAGCGTTCTCGATATTGGAAATGGCTGGGGCGCATCACTATCATGTTTTCTTGCTCCTCTCAGCATGAAGCGGGAAGGCGACTAAAAGAGGTTGGATTTAGGCCCAGCCCGCAAAAGGGAAGCAGAACGAAGGCCCTTCGGCCGCTGAAGCAGGAAAGCAAATCTGATCGGGATCTTGGCATCAGATCCATTTCTGAGCCGCAGTGAACGGTCGGTATCTGTCACTAGACCGCCAGGCACTCTACAGGGCAACTTTGAATACATGGGATGCTTAAAATACATTGGATGTTTCATACATGATTAGCTGATGAATAAATTTATGAACGAACTCATCGTTGCTTCTAATACTAAATCCCGGCACTTTCAATACATGATCCGCACGAGGAGCATGTATTAAAAACGGCACTCTGTGTGGACCACGCGCCAGCATCGTTCCGGTGTGAACGGGAAAACATTCTGCACGGCAGGGCGTCGGCCTGCGGGCAGGCGGGCTCCGACGACGAGCCATGAGCATCTGCTGGCTGCTGACAGGACGGATGCTGATCAGGTACAGGGGACTCGGAAATCCCCGACGAGGTCGTCAAAATTATCCCGGCAAAACAACCTAACAGCGATGTGTAGGAGCATATCTGGAAGCATTCCCCTTAAGATTCAGATGATAATCCAGTTGTAGAATTCTGCTGTTCTCGCAGTCGTAGTCGCATTCGCGATGACAGTCGCAGTGGCAACGGCAGTCGCAGTCACAGCCTCAGCCTCAGCCTGCCTCAGCCTCAGCCTCAGCCTGCCTCAGCCTCAGCCTGCCTCAGCCTCAGCCTCAGCCTGCTTCAGCCTCAGCCTCAGTCTGCCTTCAGCCTCGGCCTCAGCCTCAGCCTGCCTCAGCCTCAGCCTGCATCAGCCTCAGCCTCAGCCTCAGCCTGCCTCAGCATCAGCCTCAGCCTCAGCCTCAGCCTCAGCCTCAGCCTCAGCCTGCTTCAGCCTCAGCCTCAGTCTGCCTTCAGCCTCGGCCTCAGCCTCAGCCTGCCTCAGCCTCAGCCTGCATCAGCCTCAGCCTCAGCCTCAGCCTGCCTCAGCATCAGCCTGCCTCAGCCTCAGCCTCAGCCTCAGCCTCAGCCTGCCTCAGCCTCAGCCTCAGCCTGCTTCAGCCTCAGCCTCAGTCTGCCTTCAGCCTCGGCCTCAGCCTCAGCCTGCCTCAGCCTCAGCCTGCCTCAGCCTCAGCCTCAGCCTCAGCCTGCCTCAGCCTCAGCCTCAGCCTCAGCCTGCCTCAGCCTCAGCCTGCCTCAGCCTCAGCCTGCCAGCCTCAGCCTCAGCCTGCCTCAGCCTCAGCCTCTGCCTTCAGCCTCGGCCTCAGCCTCAGCCTGCCTCAGCCTCAGCCTGCATCAGCCTCAGCCTCAGCCTCAGCCTGCCTCAGCATCAGCCTGCCTCAGCCTCAGCCTCAGCCTGCCTCAGCCTCAGCCTCAGCCTGCTTCAGCCTCAGCCTCAGTCCTTCAGCCTCAGCCTGCATCAGCCTGCATCAGCCTCAGCCTCAGCCTCAGCCTGCCTCAGCATCAGCCTGCCTCAGCCTCAGCCTCAGCCTGCCTCAGCCTCAGCCTCAGCCTGCTTCAGCCTCAGCCTCAGTCTGCCTTCAGCCTCGGCCTCAGCCTGCCTCAGCCTCAGCCTGCATCAGCCTCAGCCTCAGCCTCAGCCTGCCTCAGCATCAGCCTGCCTCAGCCTCAGCCTCAGCCTGCCTCAGCCTCAGCCTCAGCCTGCTTCAGCCTCAGCCTCAGTCTGCCTTCAGCCTCGCCTCAGCCTCAGCCTGCCTCAGCCTCAGCCTGCATCAGCCTCAGCCTCAGCCTCAGCCTGCCTCAGCATCAGCCTGCCTCAGCCTCAGCCTCAGCCTGCCTCAGCCTCAGCCTCAGCCTGCTTCAGCCTCAGCCTCAGTCTGCCTTCAGCCTCGGCCTCAGCCTCAGCCTGCCTCAGCCTCAGCCTGCATCAGCCTCAGCCTCAGCCTCAGCCTGCCTCAGCATCAGCCCTCAGCCTCAGCCTCAGCCTGCCTCAGCCTCAGCCTCAGCCTGCTTCAGCCTCAGCCTCAGTCTGCCTTCAGCCTCGGCCTCAGCCTCAGCCTGCCTCAGCCTCAGCCTGCATCAGCCTCAGCCTCAGCCTCAGCCTGCCTCAGCATCAGCCTGCCAGCCTCAGCCTCAGCCTGCCTCAGCCTCAGCCTCAGCCTGCTTCAGCCTCAGCCTCAGTCTGCCTTCAGCCTCGGCCTCAGCCTCAGCCTGCCTCAGCCTCAGCCTGCCTCAGCCTCAGCATCAGCCTGCCTCAGCATTCAAAATGTGGCCCGGGAATGGAGTTCTGGAAACTCGAAGAACACGAAGTGGCCTACAGTTGGCTCCGGGCATTCAAAATCATGCCCAGGAATGGAGTTCTGGGAACTCGAAGACCACGAAGTGGCCTACAGTTGGCTCCGGGCATTCAAAATGTGGCCCGGGAATGGAGTTCTGGGAACTCGAAGAGCACGAAGTGGCCTAGAGTTGGCTCCGGGCATTCAAAATGTGGCCCGGGAATGGAGTTCTGGGAACTCGAAGAGCACGAAGTGGCCTACAGTTGGCTCCGGGCATCCAAAATGTGGCCCGGGAATGGAGTTCTGGGAACTCGAAGAGCACGAAGTGGCCTACAGTTGGCTCCGGGCATTCAAAATGTGGCCCGGGAATGGAGTTCTGGGAAGTCGAAGAGCACGAAGTGGCCTACAGTTGGCTCCGGGCATTCAAAATGTGGCCCGGGAATGGAGTTCTGGGAGGTCGAAGAGCACGAAGTGTGTGACTGTTTGCGAAAAACGAGTTCGGACACGAGTTCGGACACAGCTCCCCGGATGCCGCCCAGACCCCCCTGTGGAGTCATCTGCTGCTCTCTTTTGACCCCACTAGAAACCTATCAGCAAAAGCCGTTAGGTAAAAATGACGAGGCCGAGCCTGCATTTTGACGAGGCCTCCCGCTGCAGACATCCCACGAAACTCCTCCTCGTCGAAATCCGAGGCGCGGTCGTCAAAAAACGATGGCGAACCCGAGTCCTGGCAAACCCGGGTCTTACGCTCCCCCGAGCTGAGGGAGGCGCATGACACGAGTGGATTTCGGGCGGCGGCATGGGCGTGCTGGCGTGGTCCTGAACCTCCAGCTCGGGCGCCCCCGTGTAGAAGAAGGGGAACCTCTGGGCCACGCACGCCTGGAGGGTGGCAGGAGGGGAAAGGACTTCAGTCTACACAAGCTAGGCCGGCGCAGTGCACAACGCGAAATCACGCGAGCGAGTCCTGCGAAAGGGTAGCAGCTTGCCTGAATCTCAGAGCGAAACCAATCCCTTTTCCAGAATTACGCTCGCGCGCTCCGAGGGATAAGCCCACCCTGGGGCAAGGAGCGGGAAGGCGCAAGGAAACGCGGACGGCTCTGCATGGGCGGGAAATGAACGCCCTCTCTGGTGTTTGGGGAAGGGTTCCGAATGACATTCTTCGAGCGGGAGCCACCCTAGGACAAATCCCCAAAGTCTTCCAGTAGCTTCGAGGTTCCCGAAACAAGGCATCTACCGCGCTGTAAGCTTATACATGTCCCGCAAGCCTGTTTAGGAATAGCTATGAATCGCCTGAACCGTTCGCAAGACCCTTGCCCGCATGCCCGAACCTCCCCAACCCTACAGGGACGTGAATTGACACACGACCACCCCAAGAATCTCAGTATGCGAAGTTTAGAGTCGACGCCAAAAGCACCGACACTAAGTCTGCAGGAATCCCGCCAGCCCGTTGGGCATGGGTGGTCTAGCGAGTCAATTCTCTCCTCTTCCGGGCACCCTCTTCCCCTCGTGGAGGGGCAACCTCCCCCATCCCCTCCCTGAGGTTGCTTGAGGAGTTCGGCGATCAGTCAGGGCGCCCGAGATGGCCCAAGATGGCCCAAGATGGCCCAAGAGGGCCCCCGATGCTCCAAGATGGTCTTCAAGGCGGCTCAAGATAGCCAAGGATGATTCAAGATAGCTTCCGACATACCTTCAAGAGGCCCGACGAGGGCCACAACACAGATCCAAGTGGTGTGGGAGCCCCCACGGGACACCCCCAAGACGCCAAACTCCTTCAAAAAATCAAAAGGAAACCAATGACCGGTGCCTTCTCGCCTTTTCGCTTCCAATGCTCTTCTGAAGCCTCAAGATTGCCCCAAGATGGCTCACGGGAGCCCCAAGATGGGCCCAAGAGGCCCCCAAGGCGGCCCCAAGAGCGCCCAAGATCGCCCCAAGAGCCCCTCAATAGCGCCCCAAGGGCCGATTTCAAGGGCCCCAATAGGGGGAAACGAACGTTAGGACACCTCCCTGTTCCCACAGACCAAGCCTCCACCGACCATCCATACAGACCCAATCGAGAGGACAACCAAACGACACCACATGAACGCAAACAGCCCAAGATACCGAAACATGGGCGGCGCTCGAACATCACCACACCGACCTCACACCAGCAAACACCCAGGACAAAGACCCACAAAGTGAACGCCCAGAAAAAAAGTCGAGACGACACGCCCATCCCGCGTCGACACCGACACCAAGGACTTCCTCTTCTTCCTCCTCCTCCTCCTCTCTTACCAACTTGCTATGTGCCTCGCATCGCATGTATCCAGACAAGCCAGATTATCAAGGGCACGGCGTCACCCACCTGGTCTGAACTGGGCCTGGACGCTGTCCACGACTGTGGTCGCCTAGCACGGTCGCATCGCATCGCATCGCATCTGTTCCGACGCCCTCCACGACAGTCCCAAGAGGCTCTGCCATGCTTGACTCGCTCGAGCTGGCTAGCTTGACTCCTACTCCTACTCCTACTCCTACTCCCTCTCCTCCCCCTCCTCCTCCTCCTCCTCCCCCTCCTCCTCCTCCTCCTCCTCCTCCTCCTCCTCCTCCCTCCTCCTCCTCCCCCCTCCTCCCCCTTCCTCCTCCTCCCTCCTCCCCTCCTCCTCCTCCCCCCCTCCTCCTCCTCCTCCCCCTCCTCCTCGTCCTCCTCCTCCTCCTCCTCCTCCGCTTCTCCTGCCACTGGCGAAACCCTGCACTGGCCCCCGCCCGCGGCCGGGGCTGCGGCCCAAAGCAGCGAGGGCGCGCGGCCCGGCCGGGGTGGTGAGAAGCCCTGCCCGGCCGGGGTGGTGAGAAGCAGGGCTTGAGATCGAGCAGCAGGAGCGGCAGGATGATCTGTGCCTCCCTGACCGATCGGGCCACCTTGTCTTGGGACACACAGAGACATACTAGTACTATATGTCCTCCTTGGAGGCGCGCGTCCGACCCGAACATATAGTATACCCATCTTGTAGTATATCGTTTCCCGAGCGGTGTGGCCAGAAAGCGCCCGCCACGACGCATATACTATAAGATTTCTCGGTGCGCGCGTCGCCCCTGGGGGGGCGACGCACATATAGTATAAGTATGTTGGGGTGTTGCCGATCCCTGACCGATCGGGCCACCTTATCTTCTGGCTCCAGAATGACAGCAGCGGCGGCTTTTGATTCGCTCGTTCCTCCCCGAGCGCGCGGCCCGCCTTGCCGAAATGCTCGTTGCAGTAGTCGTCGAAGTGCCGGTGGCGGCAGTCTTCCACGCACTCGGACCCGCCGGTACACCCCTCGCCGCGGCCTCGGCCGCGGGTGCTCACGGTGCCCTCCTCGTCCTCCGACGTCTCGACTTCCTCAACCTCCTCCGCCTCCTCCTCCTCGTCCACGTCCTCCTCTTCCTCCTCGTCCTCCCCCTCCTTCTCCTCCTCCTCCTCCTCCTCTTCCTTTTCGTCCTCATCACCGTCATCATCGTCGTAACCTCCATGATAACCCATCGAAATAAGCGTTATCTTAATCATACTAAAATAACAATACTGATACTCATACGAACAATACCCATGATAAAACAAGAAGAAGAGAAATGATGCTGATATTACGAAACCTAAGTTTATATATTATGAATAAGAACTGATATACATTTATGGTGATGGCAATAATAGTACGACTGTTGATAACAATAATCTCGATGATGCTAAAAATACGAGAAGTATTCAGTGGCTAAAAATGATAATGTTCATGGTAAAGATCACAGTGCTGATAATATAGCACACATACGTCTGCTACTAGTGATGAGAGTCAGCATCATCATCATTAGCATCATCATCGGCAGCAGCATCATCATCATCGCCGCGGCCAGCCTCGTCATCATCGAAACCACCACCACCGCCATCATCACCACTGTCATCATTGTCGTCATCGTCATCCTCATAACCATTATCATCACCACAGCGATCCCAACCGAAGCAACTACCATCTTCATAGTGTTCATAATCTGCACCACCAGAGTTATGAGCATCGTCATCATCATCGTCAGCACGACTACCATCAACATCATCGCCATGATCATAACCACCCTCACCAAAAACATTATCACTACCATCAGCACAATTCGCCATCACCACCATCACCACCATCTGTACCACCACCATCACCATCCCCACCATCATCAGCATGAGTATCAACACCATCACCATCACCACCGACACCACCACCATGACCACCAGCAACATTATCATGAGCACAATCATCACCATCAGGATCACAATCCCCATCATCATCAAAATCAGCATCACCACCATCACCACCACCATCACCATCACCACCATCAACATGACCATAAGAAACATCATCATCAGCATCATCACAACCGCCATCATGACCATTATCGTGGTCGTTATCGTCGTCACCGTCATCACCATCATGACCATCATGACCATCACCACAACCACCATAATCTTACAAAGCCCATCATGATTATCATCACCACCATCATCGTCGCCACCATCGTCATCGTCATCATCATCGTCGTCCTTGGCCTCATCATAATAATCAGTGTTACCATCCTCACCAGCAACACCATCATCATTATCATCATCAACACCATGACTCACCATCATCAAAACCTGCATCATCAACTCACTCATCATCGTCGCCACCAACATGAACCTCAGCATCACCGTCATTAGCATCTTCATCATCATCAGCAGCAGCATCAGAATCATCTCACAATCATCATCATCATCATCATCATCATCATCATCATCATCATCATCATCCTCTCATCATCACAAGCAGCAGCATCGACACCATCAGCGTCATCGTCACCATCATCAGCACCATCTGCACCATCGTTGTGTTATTAGCTTCAGCAGTAAGATCATCATCATCATCGTCATAATCATCATCATCATCATCATCATCATCATCATCATCATCATCATCATCATCATCATCATCATCATCGCCGAGGCCATCCTCGCCAACATCGCATCGTCATCATCATCCTCATCATCATCATCATCAGCATCATCGTCATTCTCGTCATCATAATCATCAGCAGCAGTAGCAGCAGCAGCAGCATCAGCATCATCAGAATCATTATCAGCATCATCATCATAATCATCATCATCCTCGTCATCATCATCATCCCCATTCTCATCATCAGCAGCAGCATCATCATCATCGTCATCATCACCATCATCATCATCCTCATAATCATCAGCAGCAGCATTATCATGATTTCTTCACCATCACCAACAAAAGCATCGACACCATCAGCGTCATCGTCACCATCATCAGCACCATCTACACCATCATTGTGTCATTAGACTTAGCAGCAACATCAAAATCATCATCGTCATCATCGAGAAGGCCATCCTCGTCACCAATGTCATCGAGAAGGCTATCGCCATCATCGTCATTAGATTCAGCATCATCGAGAGAGCGTGATCCACCGCCGCTTTACTGTGGAAAATTCCCCCCCCTCTCCTCCGAACCCCGAGGTCCATCCCCTCCGAAAATCCCCCCCCTCTGCGGAACCCCCCCTCCCCCCCCCCCTTCCCCTGGCAAACCCCCCCCCACCCCCCCCCCCTCCCACCTCTGGAAAAACGGGGGGGGGGTCACTACCGTTCGAACCCCCCCCTCCGGAAAACCGGGGGGGTCACTACGGTTCGAACCCCTCCCCCCCCTCCCAGGAAAACCAGGGGGGGGGTCACTACCTGTTCGAACCCTCCCCCTCCCCCTCCAGAAAAACCGGGCGGGGGGGTTCACTACTGGAGTTCGAACCCCCCCCCCCAAAAAAAAAACAGGGGAGGTCACTACCCGTTCGAACGCGTCCCCCCCCACCCACGCTCTCCGCCGGCAAACGACTCCAAGGTCCCTACCACCGTCCGCGCCACATCCCCCACTAGCTGTCCCCAGCAGCAGCCATCAACCACCACCGCCCCCACTGTCCCCCACTGCCCCCCCACCACTGTCCGCACTGTCCCCACTGTCCCCCACCACTGTTCCCACCACGGTTCCACTCTCCCCACTTTCTCCACGGCCCCAACCACTGTCCCACTGTCCCCACTGTCCCACTGTCCCACTGTCCCCCGCTGTCCCACTGAGCTGTCCCACTGTTCCCACCACTGTCCCCACCACTGTCCCCACTGTACCTCTGTCCCATTGTCCCACCGCCGTCCTCGCCACCGCCCTCACCACTGTCCCCACCACCACTCCCCACCACTGTCCCACTGTCCCCACACCACTGTCCCCACCACCACCGTCCCCACCACTGTCCCACAGTCCCCACCACTGTCCCACTGTCCCCACTGTTCCCGCCATTGTCCCCGCTGTCCCCACCAGTGCCCCCACCCGTGTCTCACTGTCCCCACTCTCCCCACCATTGTCCCACCACTCTCCCCGCTTTCCCCACGGTCCCCACCACTGTCCCACTGTCCCCACTGTACCCACCACTGTCCCACTGTCCCCGCCGCTGTCCCAGTGTGCTGTCCCACCGTCCCCACTGCCCCACCACTGTCCCACTGTCCCCACTGTCCCCACCACTCTCCCAACTGTACTACTGTCCCACCACTGTCCTCACCAGCGCCTTCACTACTGTCCCCACCACTACCGTCCCCACCACTGTCCCACTGTCCCCACCACTGTCCCACTGTCCCCGCACCACTGTCCCCACCACCACCGTCCCCACCACTGTCCGCACCACTGTCCCCACCACCACCGTTCCCGCCACTGTCCCAGTATCCCCACCATTGTCCAACTGTCCCGAAGAGCGGGAATCGTTTGCCGGCGGCGAGGGGGGGGCGTTCGAACCGGTAGTGACCCCCCTCCATTTTTCGGGGGGGGGGGACGGGGGGGGAACCCCCAGTGACCCCAGCAGCGGTAGAACACGCTCTTTCTCATCATCATCATCATCATCATCATCATCATCATCATCATCATCATCATCATCATCATCATCATCATCATCATTATCAGCATCAGCATCAGCATCAGCATCATCATCATCATCATCATCATCATCACCATCCTCGTCGTCGTCGTCATCATCATCATCATGATCATCATCATAATCACCATCATCATCATCAGCAGCAGCATTAACATCATCGTCATCAGCTTCAGCAGCACCAGCAAAATCGTCATCATCATCGTCATCATCATCATCAGGATCATCATCATCATCATCAGCAACAGCATCATCATCGTCATCATCACCATCATCATCATCATAATCATCAGCAGCAGCAGAAGTATCATCATCCTCTTCACCATCACCATCAACAGCATCGACACCATCAGCGTCATCGTCACCATCATCAGCACCATCTGCACCATCATTGTGTCATTAGGTTCAGCAGTAACATCATAATCATCATCGTCTTCATCATCATCGCCGAGGCCATCATCGTCACCAATGTATCGTCATAATACGAATCGTCATCATCACAATCATCATCCTCATCACCATCAGCATCAGCATCAGCATCAGCATCATCAGCATCATCAGGTTATTCAGCATTATCATCATAACTAGCATCCGCATCATCATCATAATTATCATGATCATGAACATTCTCAGTATCATCGTCATCATCATCAGCAGCATCATCATCGTCATCAGCATCAGCAGCATCAGCATCATCATCATCATCATCAGCATCAGCATCATCATCACCGTCATCATCATCATCAGCAGCAGCATCGTCAGCAGCATTCACCATCAACAGCAGCAGCATCGACATCAGCAACAGCAACAGCAACAGCATTATCATCATCATCATCAACAACAACAACATCAACATCATCATCAACATCAACATCCACCTCCCCTTCCTCCTTCTCCTCGTCGTCGTCGCTCCCGTCGCTGCTGTCGTTGTCGCCGATGCCGTCGTCGTCGGCATCTTCGTCGTCGTTCACCTCATCCTCTTCCCGCATCCTCTGCCTCAAACCTTTCGTGCCTCTGAATGTGCATCAAGGGTAGCCTGGGGAACCGCCGAGAAGCTCAGGAATGCCTGGTCAAGGGTGCGGCTGCAATGCTCCTCACTCTTTCCCTGAGGGCAGGGAAACCCTTCTCCTTGGAATCCGCAGTGGCGACCTTGTCGTTATCGTCGTCGTCGGCCTCCTCTCCTCCTCCTCCTCCTCCTCCTCCTCCACCTCCTCTTCCTCATCATCATCATCACAATCATACATCATCGTCATCATCATCACCAACATCACCATCATCATCATCACCACCATAGTCATCATCATCAGCATCATCATCATCGTCATCATCATCAGCAGCAGCATCATCACCATCC